TAAATGTTTACGGTCATAAGTCGGAATGTTGTGAAAAGAAACGACCCAGAGGAGTGATTACGGAACAATATTATCATCAATAAACGTGCTATTGTAATTAAAGTGACCTATACTCATTTACTGAGCTTTGTAGAATACAAAGCTCAATAAATAACTTTTCGCAAACCGTACTCTTTTCAAATCCTGTACTCTAAAAAACTGATAAAAAATGTGTCATTTGTATAATTCTATACTCATTTGTATTGCTAAAACATTTTTTTACACTATTTTATTTCAATTTTAATTGTAAGTAAAAGATGTTGTTATTAATGACAAATTTCCCTTTGAAGAAATTTGAAAAGTAAATTTATATTTAAACTACCTATCCCGGCAAACATTGTCTTGTCATGTAAATTAATAACGCTATAAAAAAATAGGGGTTGGCGTAAAAATTAAGGGTTTCATGTATTTTTTAATAAAAAAATTTGCCCAAAAAATTAAAAAATAATGTTAAGGGTGGACAACTCTTATCACTTAGGGGTATGAAAAATAGTAGCCGATTCTCAGACCTACTGAATATGCATATAAAATTTCGTAATAATCAAGGTCAATAATTTCAGAGGAGTAAGATGTGCTGTGCAACATTGTGACACGAGAATTGTATACATAAGATTAAGAAAAATTGAAGAAATAGAACGATGTCAAAATAGAACTTGACAAAAGATGCGTAGAAATCTTACGGCATTTTAGAATAACATATCCCACATGAATATATTTTAAAGTTTAAAGTTTCAATAGAAATTTCCTTATGTTGTCCTGCTGTCGGATGGGTATTTTCACTAGGGAATGATTTTTAGAGCTGTGAGAAGTCGCAATTTTCTGTAATAACATTATCTGCCGTCTTAACGTCAAATTTAATATCCAAAATGAAAGTTGTTCGGATGTGGCTACGTTATTAGACGAACATCCTCGTTTACCAAAAAAATCCACTCCGAAGAAAAAAACATCTATTCAAAAGAGCAACACACAAGTTTCTTGCTCATTCTTCTTGTGATGAATCTGCATTCCGAATGAGTGGTAGAATCAAATATATGTATATCTAATATATGACTATCGAAAAGTGTTTGTAATGAGTTTATTTTAATAAATATTATTTCTATTTCTATGTTTTTAAAAGAAAATAAATGTTTTATCATTTTTTTCTTTTTTTTTCATCTATGTGTTGAATACTTGCAAGATATACTGTAGGTTGGTTTTTTTAGCGAAGCTGGATCAAAATATTGGAATTCTGCCGATGTAGGACCAAAATGTGGGCGATAGAATGAGTGAACTGTATGTGTGATGTAAATCAAACAATGGATAGAAAATTGTAAATACTTATAATGAAAATACGTGTACAAACGGTTGGAAGACAAAAAGTGACAATAAAAATATATGACCACTAGTTATTGCCCGCGGCTTTGCTTTCGTTAATTTATCCCTTAGGGGTGGAATTTATCAAAATCCTTTCTTAGGGAATGCCTACGTCATAGTAGCTTTATGCATGCAAAGTCTCAGCCCTATCGGTTTAAAATTGACATAGTTTCATACAAACTTTCATCCCCTATTTCATCCCCTTGCGGGTAGAATTAATCAAAATCCTTTCTTAGCGGATGCCTACATCATAACATCTACCTGCATGCCAATTTTCAGCCCGATCCATCCAGTGGTTTGGGCTGAGCGTTGATAGATCACTATGTCAGTCACCTTTGAGTTATATATGTATATTTAGATTCTAAAAGAAAATACATTTAAAATCGTACAACTTGCAACTTGTACTCTTATCGAACAAGAAATAGTGGGTATATATAAACTTATCGTAATATATTTACAACTCAAAACTATGTTCAGTTCACACCTGGGTCATATATTTGAAGGGCTACTTTCAAACTGAATAAACAATGCAAATAGTATTTGAACCTTAGATAAAACGAGTCATTTAAGTAAACACTTCTAAGTACAATATGAATCATATATAGCTGTACCTTATACTCATACTAGCGACGCGCCTTACTTCGCACGGGTGCAATGCTGTTACTAAATATATGTACCTATAACAGAAATTTCTTATAAATAACTTTTATAGCTTTTCCAGACAGTACAAACATGTTTTGGTTAGAGGTTTCTCTTGAAAGAGCAACATATAATTGAGCTATATCCCTGCATTTTAAATCTGTAATATCTTCGGAAATATTCATTTAAATTACATGCTGTAAAAGGCCATATTGATCTATATATATTATATTATATTTCCCTGGCATTGAGTCTACTCAACAGTGTAGTTACTCGCTTTCCGGATCTAGACATATTTACTTGTAATTTGCTGGAGTTTCGTAGGATGGCAGTAGATTATTTAGATAGTATGTTAAATGGAGATTAGGTATTATTATTATTATTGTTTTTTTTTCTCTTTTGTTTTCTTGTGTAATTAGTGTTTATAATTGTGTGTATTTGTATATAATCTTCCTAAGTGGGCATATTGGGAGACTGTAATGCTCACTTAGTACGATGTAAATAAATAAATAAAAATAAATATTAAATGGACAATGTATTAAGGTACTTATTTGTATAAAAATAAATGCTGTATTGCTTAAAATCACTTCGTAAATAAGACATTTTTTCCCGTAAAATGTAAAGGATAAAAAATGGTTATTGTGGGTTATTCTTAAGAGATAGACATATACCATCGCGGATTTGATTTATCTCGTGGGGTTCCTAAATTGTCTAATACCAATAATACCCGGGTTGTCTGTAAGAGATTGCTGATAGCGATAAGACCGCCTTTTGTAAAACATTTATTTCCAATGTTTTATACTTACTGTCCTATGTTTATGTATGCGCAATAAAGATTTATTATTATTATCATTACATATATATATATATATTTATTATATCTCCCTTTTTACAGGGGTAATATATTCAAACACGCGGGCCTTAGCCAAGCATGGATGAGTTATGTGATGAAGATAGAATTTTTCTGACTAATTATTATTATTATTATTGTTTATTTATTTTTTCTCAGCTTTTGCTGGTTTTCTCCACACTTACGGGCTGAAACCAAGTAAGTGCAGAGTGTGTGTATGTGTGTGTGCGCGTGTATGTATGCGTGAGTGTGTGTGTACTTATTGTGTGCCTGGTGTGACTGGTGTTATTATTATTATTATAATACAAGCTCTGCTTAGCATAGAATTAGTTGGCGTTGAATGAATTGTCCTAGGTTATTATTATTTTGAACTAGCTGTACACGCGACTTCGTCCGCGTGGAATTTAACAATAAAGTTAATTAGAGATTTTTTCTAAAATAAAAGTAGCCTAAGGTATTCCTTATTACATCAGCTACCTGCCAATAAAAGTCCCGTCGAAATCGGTCCAGCCATTTCAGAGATCAGCCGGAACAAACAGACAGACAGACAGACAAAAATTGTATAAAATGTTATTTTGGTGTATGTACCTGGTTGGTCTATGCTTGTAGTAAAAAACGATTATTTCAATATTACAGACAGACACTCCAATGTTATTTATATGTATAGATGTACAGATGAGAATGTTTACCAACGCCGTATTTCATATAACAGCATTAAGTGCCAAGTCCGGCCAGTGTTGCCTGTGTGAAGGTATAATAAATAACTAGTTATGAAGATATTTTATGTAATTGGAACGACAAATAAGCTATTCTTTCCGTAATGTTTTTTATTTTATAAATCTTAATAATAGACAATAAAAAAAGTACCCATCAGATTACATCATCACTGCTATTTTTTGTAGGATAATTCTGGAGGTACATATTTTAAATATCTCTCTGAACGTGTAACCTGTTCCGATGTATACAAATAAAATTACTCTTACAATAAGGAAATGATTATAAAAACATTTAGGAATACTACGTCCTTTTTTTTATACCACGTAGGTGGCAAACAAGCATACGGCCCATCTGATGGTAGACGGTTCCCGTTCCAAAATAACCTCTATTTTTTTTGACGACAGTTATAATCCAGGAGATCTAAAATGATTAAACATAAATTAGGAGTAATCTCAAGTTGAATATAATCAAATGCAAGTATTTATTGCTGTGATTATAATGATCGCAATACGACAAAAAAACAGATAACTTTCTCGATTTATCATCATGCCGGATCAGTGCAAGAGTCCGGCAGTAACGTTTACCTCCCCCGGGGGGAAGCCGGATTTCCATGAGGATTTTCCTCAAGAAAAAAAAAACGAATGTCTTTCTACTACTAGATTCCTTCTCATATATTTATGTTTAATTTGCAATAAGTATTTTGACAACTTAAATGATTAAACAATAAATGTCTGGACCACTTTTGATTGGATCGAAAAATAATAATGGCAATTACAATCTTCTTTAAAATTCAATGTATACATTAGGATATACAAAATATAAAATAAAATGGAAAATATCTACTTAAATCTGAACCATATGAAATTAGCAGAAATAATCTCACGCACAGCCATCCTAACTTACACACTCAGAATATTATTAAAACCACATCAAAATCCTTGTAATTGTATTCTTAATTTTCAAATATTATATAACTGCTTTTAATTGCTATAATAATTATATTACATAGAAAATAAATTAAATGATCTGTGAAACTTTAGATGAAACTGTAACATATGTAGTTACCAATTAGTCGATCGATCGAACTTGATTCCGACCGATCGATTCGATCGTGTCGGATTTCAACATGATAATAAAATACAGCATTATAAAAACTACAATAACATTACAACATAATTTACATCAGAATGATAAGCAATTACATAAAAATAACTAAGGAAAATAAAGAATTTACATAAAATAAAAAACGGATCAATTTTGAATCTTACCTGCCAATATAAAACGCACAATCACAAATAAAAGACACAAAAATAGACATATGGTAATGAACAATTGATAACTGGCAGAGCGTCTTCTGATGCCAAACTATGCACAACTTTAAAAATTGATACTACTAGGACTATTGATTGGCATTTCAATATTTCACACTCAATTCAATACTTCAATTATTTACACACATATATAAAAATACTGAAATCGTTAAAAACAGAGATATCTGACACAAGAACCTGCGATCACTGGAAAGTAAAGCAGCGAACTATTCTGCTGGATTACCGAGGTTTCCAAAAGATATAAATCAGTATGTAGTCATACATACTCGTGTTACGGACTACGTTGAATCGTTTCCACGTGTTGATGGAACGAATAATTCGAAGGAGATTCTTGAGAGCTATTCATTTCTGGCACTAGATCCTCAACTGTGGTCGGTATCTGTGGTGGAGGAGAATCTCGCCGAGGGTACCCCGAAAATCTTTGATTAGAGGAATATCCGCATCTATAGTCATATTGCTCACAATCCGAGTGATACAAAAGGTTGTTTATTTGATGCTGTATATCAATATAGGTTAATTTAGAATAAGTTCTAAATTTAGCAGCTAAATAATTAGCGTAAAGTTGATATTCATCTAATTCAGTAACCGCTGAAGCTTCAGAAGCGAGAACTACTTTAGAAGCAGAAGATTTGGCGAAATCAGTTGTGGACGCCGATCTTATGTCATTAGCCTCGGCACATACCATGAACTTGTTCAATTTGTGCTTCAATGAGGATGTGGAAGAATCTATTGTGTTATTGCTGACAGTTTGCTCTGCAGACGAAACTGTATCGATTGAAGGAGTCCGTGTATTGTGCATTTCTTGATCTTCCTGTTCCTGTAATGAGAACAAATTAAATACTTACATCAAAGATTGTAAAAAAAATGTTACACAAATTTTAGACTATAACAAAATAAGCATGGCAATCCCAACAAATAAAACTACCACTATAAGAGCAGATCGACCAATCTGGGGCGCGTTGCGGACGCTTGGTATTTGTAAATATGCGAAAACAATGTCAGTGTTATAGGATATTCCTTGCAGTTTGTAAAGACACACACAATTTGGTCATCATACAGTTGACCGTTCTGTTTGATCATTTTATGGAATAAAATAGTTTTGGATAAGGTTCGTTTAACTTTGTGTGAGTTAAAGGATCCTTACGCAATGCTATCCTGAGAACCAACGACTAAAGCTGTCATTAATAATGTAACTAAACTGCAAACAGGGAGAAATACAAATGTTTAGTGTAAATGAACTCAGAAAATACTTTCATATATAGAAAGGTCCATTATCAGAGTATGTTATTGTCAAACAATTAGATGCATACAGAAATTGCGCATATGTGTAGCCGAAGTGTGGAGCTAGTTACATAATAAGTACTGATAAGTACTCTCTAAAACTGTACAGGAAAAATAACAACAAAATACTGCTGTATAACTTGCTAAGTTAATAACTCATAAGAATGTATCTTGGTAACTATTACGTTAGGATAAAAAAATGTAAGCATTAACGATAAAAACCAGCAAACTAGTTATTATAAGTACTTTATTAAAAAATATAATTTTAGTGTGTTTACTTACAGTATTCATTCTCTGGCGAGGTTTATTTCTGTAGAACAGGAACTGCATGTATTTGAAGGGGTACCAAGTGGACTGGTAGACTTCGGCAGGACCTGAAGTATAAATTATCATAATTACAAAACAATAATTTATGTGCAAATATAAATATCACATAATTAGTAGCTACTTTAATTATTACACCAGATGTAATAATTATGTAAACAGGATATTATCAACCATGATGTAGATCTAAAAAAATATCAACTAAATACTAACCTACTCCAGGTACGTTAGATTTCTTTATCTTTGCCTTCTCACGACGCAGCGCTGCCAACAAATAGTCCATCTTCTTTTTAAGTTCATGAACTGAACAGTTCATCTCCACGGACAGTTCGTCCCATGCCTCCTGTTTTAAGTTCTTGTTGTAATAGTTCTTGTGTGCTGGGTTCCACAACACGTCTTTATCTTTGTAGGCTTCAATGTATTTTAAAACCTTCTCGTTAGTCCAGTTCATGACTTCTATTGAGACGGCAGCAACGGGATAAATGATACGTGCGCTTCAAACGGCGGCCACGTGCTCACTGACTGGACGCCGTATCCGTATCATTAGACGAAGAATGAGGTTCGAACACGAGCCGTTCGAAACGAAACTGGTTGTAATATAACTGGTTATAAGGTTGTTAATCGAGGACACATGTTCTGTTTGTGTATCATTAACCGCCGATATTAATATTCTTGATACGCGTATCATGGTTCGTGTTTATAGTACATGGCTCCGAGCAGAAGTATAATATAATGATATTATATGATACGTTGAACATGATCGGGAAAATGATACGATGTAAATGAGTAAAGATTCTTCAGATTACATATATTAAAATAGAATTTAATCAGCACAAACCAATACAAATGTATCTTAGGTCTGATTGGGGAAAAATATGCGATTGCAAAGCCGGTCAGACATATCTTCAAATGAGCTATTATCTACAAAATCGGGTTGCTCAAAGTCGTGTTCAAAGTTTGAACAAACATTTGCTGTTGTACGTCGATTTTAAAGCTTAGTACACGAAAGCGTTCAAAGCACAAAGGAATGCGTAATATAATCGTGCAAAGATTTGAGTTCTACAGAGCGTTTGCAAAAAAAATCTTATAGGTATATTTTTATTTGCACAAACATTTCTTAGACAGACAAATAGATATATAGATAGTAAAGACGTTTTTTTTAATTCTTACAAATGCCACACAGTTACACATAAAATATTTATAGTTATGTCAAATACCGAACTTGTCATGAAGCTGTAGGACATACTGAAAGTATCGTGTGAATGGATGTAGGTGAGAGATGACCTATTAGAGGCCTTGGGTACATTAGGATAATGGGACCGCTATGACTATAGTAATAGAGCACTATTTTGTTAGAATAGATAAAGTCATTTTTGTAAATGACTCTAGAGATGCTCTACCTTCAAAACAAACCAGACAGAAATAATTTTAAAAAGTCGTTATGTGATAAGGGATTTAAGTTCTTGTTAGATATTTATAAAAAAATAACAGAAAGTAACAAATTGACCATAGTCGGTAAGCGTTTGTTAAGAATGATTTTCAGGCGAGAGTAGTGTATCGGTTATCTTTAGAATAGAATAGAATAGAAAATAATTTATTCAAATAAACTTAACTTAAGCACTTTTGAATTACAACATTTTTTTTTTAAATCTACCATTGGTAATGGAATAGGAGCTAGACTAGACTAGGGGGCCCTAATCCATCGCAGGCCCTGTGCACGTGCCCAGTGGGAAAGAGGGGTCTGTAGGTAATAAAATCAAATCGTATACCGGACTCTGAAACCGGACACAACAATGTGAATCATTACTGATTGACGCCAAAATGAAGGCAAAAATATTCCAAAAGTGAGAGAAAATAAATGATGTTTGTGAACCGGTGGCGGATATATTTCAAGGCTAATGAAATTATGTTACGACTACTCAAGCCCCACCTCTAGAGGCTGTTCAACTCGAATTGGTACGTCCTTACACGACAATTCTCATACTACGATTAATTGTACGTACATACAATTAATCGTAGTATGAGAATCGTCTGCAGCGTTTATGTGTCTGCAAACGTTAGATTTACTCATTTGAAAAGAGAAGAAGTAGCAGAGTATTGAAAAGAGTACGAACTTTTTTTTTATACTACGATTGTGGCAAAGCATACGACCCATCTGATGGTAAATGGTTACCGTAGCCTATGAACGCCTGAAACACCAGGGGTAACGTACGCGTTGCCGACCCTTAAGAAACCTTAATATACTCTTCTTGAAAAACCTCATGCTGTAGTCTCGTGGGAAAACCTCGGCAGGAAGTTAATTCCACAATCTAAGTGTACGCGGAAGGAAGCTCCTCTGAAACGGCACTGTTCGGGACCACTTAGGTTCCAGTGTGTGGGGATGAATTCCCTGTCGATGGCGAGCGGTGCGTTGGTAAAAGGTGGCCGTCGGCATCATGTCGAACAATTCCTCAGAACACAGTCCGTTGTATAATCGGTAAAACACACAAAACCAAGCGAAGTCTCGCCTCAAGCTAAGTGGCTCGATACCGCCAGAGAGATTGGGATCATCGAGCTTATTATCTTTTATATCGCCAGTTCTCTTGACTCTAATTATTGCCACAGATAATATTCTATCACGAACTGACTGTAGTGTATATGTGCCGTGCTATAATTCTAAACATTTCCGTAGATGTAATTTTTATATGTGATACCTATGAAACAAAATTTACACAGCTCTTTTTAATGACATTTGCAAATTAAATATATTATTAATATTAAACTAACGTCCCGTCCCGACTTCGTACGGGTTTATTACAAATTCTATTTCTCGGCTTGTTCTATAATGCAACACGAATGTATTATATAGAGAAACCTTTCTCTTGAATCACTCTATCTATTGATGAAAACTGCATGAAAATTCGTTGCGCAATTTAAAAGATATATGTAAGCGAACAGATAGCGGCGGCGACTGGCGATTACTGTTTATTATTTATTTTTTACTAGCTACTCGCCCCGGTTCGCACGGGCGTACATGTATTATACATATAAACCTTCCTCTTGAATCACTCTAACTATTAAAAAACACTTCAAAATCCGTTGCGTAGTTAGATTTAAGCGTACATAGGGACGGACAGACAGCGACAGCGACTTTGTGTTATACTATGAAATGATAATTATTATTTAACCGATTGATTCTCACCAACCTAGAGCAAACTCAGTCAGTGTATTAATGACAAGAAGCAATTTAATATCACGAAAAAACTATTCTACACTTGAGTGTGGAAGGTGAGTCATATCAGAATGTCTATGTGTCTATGCGTAAATAAAATCGACTTGTCTGTTTGTAATTATCAATAATAATCCTTTAATAATAATAATAATCTCAGGACAATTCACACAGCGCCATCTAGACCCAAGTTAAGCTAGCTAAAGCTTGTGTTATGGGTACTAGATAACTGATACATATACATAGATATTTTTTTCTCGTAAATACATAGATATTATACGTAGAACATCCAGAGCGATACAAACAATCATACTCATGAATACAAATGTTTGTGCCGTGCGAGGAATCGAACCCGCGACCATGGGTCGTAAAGCGGTGTGCTAGACCGCTAGACCACCGAGGTCGTCAAATTAAGACCTTTTTACTATATACATATAATTAATATTTGACGTCTAAATACATTCCACGTCTCGAGAATCCTGTTCACAAACATTAGATACACGTATGCAGGTAGTCACGTGGTCAGGCTCCGTAGCGCCACTCTTCCTTCCTGTTCTCTTCCATCCACGTCAATACAAACTTCGTCATAATGCTGTATTTTGCAATCTCCATACAACATAGTCATAATTATTATCTATACACAATACACATAAATAAAAATAATGTGTCTGTTTGTAACTTCAACAAGCTTGTCACTAAAAAAATTAATGTTAATGTATGACACGACGCTGCATCTAATAAAATAATATTTTATATTATGTTTGTCTGTCTGTATGTTCTTGCTAATCTCTGAAACGGTTGAACCAATTTTGATGGGACTTTCTCTCGTACATGGCGAATGATGTAAGTAACGTAGGCTATTTTATTTAATACTAGCTGTTCCCGCGACTTCGTCCGCGTGGAATTTAACTTTATTTTTCTAAAATAAATGTTTTTTTCTAAAATAAAAGTAGCCTAAGTTACTCCTTATTACATCAGCTACTTGCCAAGTCCCGTTAAAATCGGTCCAGCCATTTCAGAGATTAGCCGGAACAAACAGACCGACAGACAGACAGACAAAAATTTAAAAAAGTGGTTTTTTGGTGTATGTACCGTATTTATATTCATATGCATGTAGTAAAAAACGGTTATTTCAATATTACAAACAGACACTCCAATTTTATTTATATGTATAGATGTATATATATAAAGTCACGTTAACAGCTAGTTGTTAGTAAAAAAAGTTATGATTTTTAAGTTCTCGTAAGAGATTATTATGAGATGGGACTAGTGTCACAATAGGGCCACTATTGTTCTTAAATCTGTACAGCAAGTGAATAGGTCTAATAAAGTATCGTAATGGATTTCCAATGTGTTCTTTATAGAATAGAATAGAATAGAAAATCATTTATAATAAACTTACAAATAAATAAATATAAATTCATAAATAAACTTACATTGAAACACTTTTGAATAGTCGTCACATTTTTTTTCAATCTACCGCTCATTCGGAAAGCTGTCTCATCACATGAAGAACGAGCTGTTACATTTTTAAGATGAAGTGTGTGTAATACAAACTACCAATTAGCACTAATTCAATTAAATACTGAAATAGAGGAAATATTAAATATACAACCAACTGTTTGAGCAACTAAATAAGAGTAAATCAGTCGTAGTGATTACAGCAGACCAGTCCCTATAAGCAGCACTCGTTCACGACTATGACAAATGAGCCAGTCATCACTGCGCTCGACCATATTTTACGGAGCCCAATAACTCGGCCCACCATCCGCCACATATCTGGACATTTTAGTGAGCATGACTACTCAAGACACTAGACCACGTCATAGCTACTTACAATTGCCATTTGATAGTTATAGTATTCACATTTTACATAAGATATAATGGATAAACTGGCCTGACGTACATCGTTCTTCTACATCAAAGCTGATCAGGTATGAATAGTAGTGCCGTAATTTGAAAAAGAGGATAATAGTCAAATCCAGCTCGGATGGGCAGCATTCGGGAAGCTCCGATATCTTTTCGTCCAAATTACCGCAGTGTCTCAAGACGAAGGTTTACGACCAATGTGTGTTGCCAGTGATGACTTACGGTACAGAGACGTGGTCGCTAATTATGGGACTCATAAACAAGCTCAAAGTCACTCAGAGGACGATGGAGAGGTCTATGCTTGCAGTTTCTCTGCGTGCTTATATCAGAAATGAGGAGATGCGCAGAAGAAACAGAGTGGCAGAGATAGCTCGAAGAATTGCGAAACTGAAGTTGCAATGGGCAGGGCACATAGCTCGTAGGA